GCAGAATGACAACATTCCCCTGAGAGTATGAGCTGCATGGAATGTGTACAAAGATAGGGACCTTCTATTGTTTAATGTATGGTAAACATTTACCATTCTACAACTGTTCTTGTTGTTTTTTTCCTTTCATGACACACTGTGGCCATGATATTGTTTCCAGAAGCCTGAAACATTGACAGACAAAAGTTATGATTGTCAAGTTGTCAGGATCTGTCCATTCTCCTGACGCCCTTATTTTCTACTTTTTTATGTTGTATACAAAGCGATATTACTATCAGATCTGATGTTGTTGTTATTGTTGTTGTACGCTGAGTGTATTAATCCAACATTTTACAATTAAAAGGATTATATTGGAACAATTTCGTGACAAAGCGAGACAGGCCCATTTTAAAATTCCATTTTTCCCCCATTTCCTGAATAATCTTGAGCAACTTGTGTTTTAGAACAAACACAATGAAAGGAATAGTTGACGAAGTCTATGAGTGGGATTCCCATCCCTTAAATTGATGATGACATCTCCACTCCATATATTCTTGACAAAACCCGACATATCCATGGAATGGAAAGAGCTGCTGACAAACTGTGGGAGCTTATTATTCCCAGTTTTGGATGAAGTAAGGGAACTGAAACACTTCTCTACACACAAATAAACAATCCAAACAAATTAAATCTCATGAATTTGTTAAGCATTTAATAAACAATTTTATATAGGTTCAGTGATATTCTTTTCTTCACTCAGAGGAAGGCCAAAGGTCAGAAACAAACGTGTCACCTTCATGAAATGTCTATGTTGACGTTATCATTCACGTACAGAGAGCGGAGTGTGGATTCCTGACTAGTCAAACACGTACTGCCAATCAAAACCTGTGGAAATAATAATAATAGATAGCATTTGTATAGCGCAAATCCCTGCTCAACAGCAAGCCCTATGCAATTCACAATCTATATACTATTACGGTACCCAAGTAGACCTGAGAGCATTCTGAAAAAACCTAAACTTCCTGGGAAGCATACAGTGCTAGCAGCCATACATAGGCACTAAAACACTAACATACTGACAAGATCTTTTGCTGACTATGGCCAGATACCCATTCCCACCTGGGTCAAGTGAGGAAAATTCGTGCAAAGTGCCTTTCCCAAGGACACAACGTCGTGCTCGTGGCTCGAACCCCCATACCCGCAAACCTCACGATTGCGAGTCCGATAGCTTAACCCCTCCACTAGGCCACCGACGCCACAAATATGAACGAGAGAAATTAATCAGGAGGTTGGAAGGCCCCACTGGTTCTGTTTTACTTTTTTACTTTCTTTCTGTTGTTTTACTTTTTTTACTTTTTCTCTCTGTTGTTTCTGTCCGTCTGTTTTACTTTTTTTACTTTTTCTCTCTGTTGTTTCTGTCCGTCTGTTTTACTTTTTCCAAGCACTAAATGACCTTTACTGTGCCAATGTGCTTCTCTTTCTTAAACAAACAATTGAGAGACTGACAAAAATACGTAAAAAGATTTATAATTATATTAGTACACCTTGAAATGAAAACAAGCTTTATACATGTTTAATTAGGTTCCTTTATCAATATAATAAAAGTAGTTAAAAAAGAGCAAATGAAAATAGGCCTATACTGCCAAGAAATAGAATATCTTACCAGTGCATGGACTATGGGTATTCTAAAATCATGAAAAATAAGTAGATATATTTGCAACTGAAGAAAGTGGGGGTTGCCTGGTGTCAGAGATTAAGTTAGTGAGATATTGGCCACCAAAGTTTGGTCACATGATCTAAAGCCAAAGTGTCCTTGGA